GCGCTCAGTGAAACACGGCTCGCTGAGCAAGGGGCAAGTTGCATGAAGCAGGTGCTGGCTACACCTTCTACTGGGTGGGCAGCGCCGCCTCAGCACCACGTGATCATGGGGTCGGCTTTGCAATACCCGATCGCCTGAATGGCCAGCTGGTGGGTGAACCAACAGGCATCAGCGCGCGACTGATGACTGTTCGCCTACGACTCGGAAGAGGTAAGTTTGCTACTTTTATGAACACATACGGTCCGACCATGTGTTATCCTGATGACTCGCGTGATCAGTTCCACACTGAGCTGTCCTCCGTGATACGGTCTGTGCCGAGGAGCGACCGACTATTTCTGCTGGGTGATTTCAACGCGCGCGTTGGGCTTGGTGCATCGGTGTGGACAGATGTTATCGGTTCGCATGGCATTGGTTCAGCGAATGCGAACGGTGACAGGCTTCTCTCACTGTGTGCCACTCACGGCCTGACGATCACAAACACTCGGTTTGCACTGAGTGCGAGTGATATAGCAACTTGGACGCACCCACGTAGTGGTCACGCTCACCTGCTCGACTATGTCGTCGTACGTCAGCGTGATATGCGTGAAGTGCGCATGACACGTGTACTGCGTGGAGCTGAGTGTGGCACTGATCACAAATAGGTTCGGACCAAACTGTACATATATTTTCGTAAATCAATGTATTGCACACCCGTCGTGAATCGGCGTAAATTTAACATTCTCTCCCTCGGTATTGTGGCAAAACGTACTGAGCTGGAGAAGGCGATGGCTGCACGCCTGTGTGATGTGGACTGTATAGCCACAGTGGGCGACCTGTGGCACCACATTCGCGACCAGGTGACTGCTGCTGCCGAGGAGACCATCGGGCGCAAACTGTAAGCGGCCTGATTGGTTTGATGAGAACAATGCGATGATCGGCGCATTGGTGTCAGAGAAGAATGCAGCATTTGCTGCACATGTGGCAGACCCCAGTGACTTGGGGAAGAAGAGTCAGTTTCGCAAACTTCGACGGCGACTGACCTGAGAGCTCGGTCGCATAAAAAATGCATGATGGACGGAGAAGGCGAAGCAGATGGAATGCTACGCCAAACGCCGTCAACACAAGGAATTGTTTGACTCCTTGAAGGCGGTGTGTGGACCGAGATTGGAGCCGCTGAGGACGCTGATCGATGGTAGTTCAGGCGCTACCTACACACAGACTGCAGACATAATGCAGGTCTGGCGAAGAAACTTTGACTGTATCTTGATCAATCGTTCAGAGATCGACTGGCCTACCTTGAACGGCCTGAAGCAGCACGATGTGAAGGCGGATCTGGCGGATACGCCGGCACTGGATAAGACGCAGAGAGCACTTGCTCAGCTGCGAAACGGCAAGTGTGCCGGAGGCGACGGGATCCCGTCTGAAGTATTAAAACCCGGCGGACCCGCGTTGTTGATTGCGCTGCACCACGTGGTGCAACGCATATGGATTGAGGAGGAGGTGCCTCCTGAGCTGAAGGATGCCCTTGTGCTACCACTGTACAAGGGCAAAGGGAGCAAGCACTGTTACACAAAGTATCGTGACATCAACTTGCTGAGTTGTGTGGGCAAAGTGATTGCCCGAATCCTGCTCAACCGCCTCGTCAGTCAGGTTGTGGAACCTAACGTGGCGGAGGAGCAGTGTGGATTCCGTTCAGGTCGCAGCACTATAGATATGGTGTTTGCGGCTCGTCAGTTGCAAGAGAAGTGCAGAGAACGACACCAGCCATTGTACTCGCTTTTTGTCGATTTCACTAAGGCATTTGATACGGTGAACCGCGATGCATTGTGGCTGGTGTTGGGTAAGTTTGGTTGCCCGCGTAAGTTTGTAAGTTTAATTGAATGTCTGCACAATGGTATGTGAGCGAGGGTGCAGCTGTGTGGACAGACCTCGGATGACTTTGCAGTTGTCTCTGGTGTGAAGCAAGGCTATGCCTTAGCTCGTGTCCTGTTTAATATTTATCTTCATGCCATGATGTCTTATGCTTTTGATGCGGCTTGTGCTTACGGTGTTCGTGTGGAGCACCGTATTGATGGTGGGTTGCTGAACATCCATCGTTTCGGTGAGAGAACTCTAGTCTGTGAGACAACTATCCGTATGTTACTGTTTGCTGACGACTGTGCGTTGTTTGCACACAGCGCGATGAGTTGCAGCACATGACTAGTGCTCTGGCTTCGACAGCGGCCAATTTCGGGCTCACCATCATCAACACAAGCAAAACTGTCTGTCGGTTTCAGCCTTCACCAGAGGAGAAATCTTCAATATTGCCGAAAATCAGCATTGGCAACCACCTCCCGCTTCAGCTACCCTGGAAGTGTGATGTCGACTGATCAGCAGCTACACGTTGAGTTGCGTATTCGCGCCCCCAAGGCAGCGACGGCATTCGGGAATCTAGAGTACCGAGTGTGGAACAACCATCAGCTTACCGTTGGCACGAAGCTGATGGTGTACAAATCCATGGTACTGTCCGTTCTTCTATACGGCAGTGAAACGTGGATGATGTACCGTCGGGATGTGCGATATCTCGAGCGGTTCCATCAGTAGTGTCTGCGACGAATTTTGCACGTCGTTTAGGGCGCCAGAGTTGCAGACACGGAAGTGTTGCGCCGAAGTGTGATATATGCAGTGGAATGCATACTTTTACTGAGACACCTGAGGTGGATCGGTCGTGTGAGCCGTATGGATTCGACGCGAATACCGAAACAACTCTTATATGGTCAGCTGAATATTGGGAAGCGGCACGTGGGGAAACCAAAGTTACGTTACCAGGACATGATCAAAGTGAGTCTCTCACGTTCTAATCTTGATTGCAGATCATGGGAATCGAAGGTGATTGATCGGCGTGCATGGCGCGATCTAATCACGAAGGCAGTTGTTGAAGTGCGGGAGAAAGCCCTCATGCATGCAGAGAAGAAGCGGCAAGGGCGGAAGCGGCAAGCACCGATAAATTGTACTCCATCGACATCAAGGTCATGGTGCTGTAGGACATGCGGTCGCGAGTACCTTGGTCAGGCAGGCCTAGTGAGCCATGAGCGAGGCCACTCGGGACCACTACCGAAGCGACGACGGGTCCTGCAGAGAAGGTAGGCGGGACCGGCGCAGCGTTTGTAGACACGCTGCATTCGAATTACTAACCGAGTGTTTGCACTTGAAGTCTCTTTATTTCCGGTGGTGGGTTTGCAATTTTGTCCTAATGCTTTTCTTTCTCATATACATGTCTACCTGTACTCTCTTCTCTAAACTTACACACGTCGCTTAAGCCGATTGTAGTTAATCTCGATAACATTTTCGTGTTTGTGGCATTTCCGTAAAATATACCTTCTGACTTCGTGAACTTATCTCGGATTCTTTTGTAAACAACTTAGTTCATTTGCTCATTAATTTACAAGTTATGTCACCGTTTCCCTATACATTACTCGATTTATTTTCTTTATTATCTTTCTCTAAAGTGATTGGCTGTTGCTTGACATCCCCGGTGTGGCTGCGCTTGATGTGCATGTTGACAAGGTGCCTACCTGTTTATTACCTACTATCACGTCCATACTAGCTCTAGGAGACAATTGGTCGTTACTGGAGTGGACGGGGTGCACGGTCCTTGTGGCCGTGCTAGGCACAAAGAGCGGTTCCATGCACTCAGTGTGGAGCGGACTACGGTCCAGCCACCGTCTTGTGTACGCTTGATTCCCCAATACAGCGTGCTTGTGTTTGCCTGTGAAGGAGTGTGGGCCGGCTCCGTTGATGAAACGTGGTTCCCATCCACATACCTCCCGGTCTTATTCCTTCGGGTTTACACTGGATATGGGGTGTGTGGTTGCAGCTGTGTGTGGTGTAACGCAAGCCACCCATGGTCCCTCTGTAGGCGCAGGCGTTCTGTGGCTTGCCACAGTGACAGGCAAATCCGAAATCGGATGCCGCCAACCATATATATATATATATATATATATATATATATATATATATATATATATATATATATATATATGCTTCACGTGCACCTCTAACCCCTTCCACTCTTTGTGGACCTGTGACTGCTAACAGTTTTACACCTTTTTCATGTATTTACTTATCCTCTGTTTATCTGCTTTCAACATCGCTTTTCTTCCCAATCCGTTTAACTGCATTCTATTGCTGACGGTGATATACCGTGATCTTTAACCATTGAGTACTTTTATGTCTAATAGTCGTACCTCGAGTGACACGTAAGCGTTACGATCCAAACTTGTTCTCGTTTCGGGATCATTGCCTACGCGTCACTGGACGTTCGACCGCCGAAGGTTACGCTCTCTTTGGTGAATAGTAGTGGTCGGATATGTGCTCGAACCAGCGCCTATCTCTCACCTCCGCATCTTATAGCTGCAGACAAGTTGTTGCTACCCGAATCGAGGTGTACTCTTTAGCTTCTCAGTTCCACAAAGAAGGGTTTACACTTTCATAGCTTGACTAAGAAAAATCCTCATTTTGCTTCTCTTTATTCAACCTTGAAGATAGTGCAGAGGTCATTCGCAGCCCCAGTGGCGTTGCAGTTTCATGAAGTGTGCGGACTACATTCAACATTTAAATTTCTTCATCGGTAGACGAACTGATCAACCACCTTCAGTTCGTCGTCATCGATGCTCAAAGAACTGGCAGATGACTAATGGTCTTATGATGGCGGTGTCATGCAAAGTTTATGCTTAACAGTGATACCACCAGATAGAGAGTCTCGATCGTTGCTTATTATTCCATTGCACGGCCTTCAGATTGCAAAGTGATGTCATCCGCTTATTCCAACTTTGTGTGCTTTCTGAGTCACCCCAGGAATGCGCTCTCCGGTAGCGTCTTCGATACTATTAAATGTAAACGGAGTAGAAATAGCCACGACAAACCACAATTACGCTCGGGAAGGCACCGGACAATTTGCCGTAGGTCTTTGCACAACTTCAGCTGTTAGAACATAGGATATGTAACGTGTACTCGTATGTGCTTAAAGCATTTTTCCGAGATAGTATGTTGGACAAAGCGAAGCGATCGATTTATTCGAGCGCGCTCTTAACGTACAGGAACATGGACGTAACCTATCTTCTGTGCGTGTGATTGTGCTCCGGCGCCTGCACTGATACAACATATATTTTTGTGCTATAGAAATAAATGTAGTTAGCTCAGGTTGTTCATTTGTTAGACGCACTGTTTGTTGAGCTTGACAGATTTGTCACCAGTCGAGGTGACATGATCAGTGTATTAGAGAATAGCGGAGCGATACTTAAGTAGGTGTGAACCGGATGATTGTGCGCGTGCGCTTCCATAGGTCGTTTTGATAAATGACCGGTTTCGAAATTACTTGCTCAAATAAGTTCAAGACCGGTCGTGGATTGCAGTATTTTTGGGCAGGAAGCAGCCAATATTCATCTAATGCATCAATATTACGGTCCCAGTGATCGGATTGACCAAGGTTCACTCTTATGCGAACCAAGATTGCGCGTCGCAATCCATTCACACAAGGTGCACTTCGAAACGACCCTACTAAATATTACTCGAGTGGATTACATCGCATTTAATCCCGAGCAACTGAACAAATCCATCTCGGTCCGAGATGGGGAGATGTTGGCCCGTAAGAACGCAAATGCATCCTAGTCTGTGGTGAAATCGCACTATCCATCTGCTTCAGTTGGTCTTGTGATACAGCAGAATATGCAAAAATGGAAACGTATCCCGTTTGTTGGAAAGCATACCAATCTGTTTATTTATCTGTAACGTCCATCTTTTTGTGTAAAAGTATAAAACAGCTTTTATCATTGCAATACTCCGAGAGAAACCTGACAAATGGCCTCATCGATCGCGAAAGTGGGGCGGGGGCCAAGACTATAAGGGGATGCTGTGGAACGGAACCTGTTGGCTGCAGCACACTACTCATGCCTGAACAGTAGTTGGGATCGGACGGCAAAACCAACTGTGCGGCACCATAAAGTCAACCCAAGAGTTGAACACGGGTAAACAGTTCTTGCGTGCATACCACTCCATGGAGTACAGACACATCAATTGACCCCAGCCGGTGAATAGTACCACCCAGATGAACACGTTCCAACTTCGGCCCGACCCGTTCACGTAGAAGAAAGGATAACCGGCGAACGTGAAGAACACAAAAAGGACGGGGTAGAAAAATCGAAAGGCCAAACTCAAAGCGTATTCGTGCACTGCTGCTGAGAGCCAGAACACCACTGCAGTCGCAATGGATCGAGAACGTTGGGATCGGCTGAGAAGTTGAATATCTTTGTACACGTAAGTGTAGAGCCAATCATGTACGACCACGTTCCAAGTTCGATACCACACACTGAACGCGGTGGAGTTCCACCAATCTTTATAGAACAATCTGTCTCCAAATCGAAGCATCTCGGCAAATGCATTGAGCCACGAATGCAGTCCAGCGAAGAAGATTAGAAACATGACAAGTCCTCCGGGAACACTTGTGGCTGTTGAAGTTAGGATGAACTGTCTGAGTGTGTAGTCTGAGGTTCTGCCAAAGTGTACAAATTCTGTGAAACAGAACTGAATGAGGACGTAGTAACTGAGGAGAGTACATCCGCACACTTGTAGCAGGTTGGAGACCACGTACCCCCAACGAATCTCACTTGTTCTTGGATATGTGTTTCGGTACACCAATGTTGGGGCGAATAGAAAGTAGAGATAGTTGGAGAAGTTTGGCGTCCATGGGGTCGGCTGTTGTGTTCCAGCGGTCTGCTTTGAAGTCTGTTCTACGACGGTGCTCATGCAAGTGCGCACGAACGCGTGGGACTTCATCAACATCCGAATCTGCTCCAACACTACGATGAATGTACTGACGGGTGGAAGCTGATGTCTAATTGTAAATTGAATGGGCACGGTGATGAAGGCCACCTGAAAGGAAAGAGCAGAGGGCGTAGGAGTTCAGGATGAGATAGGTTACGATAAAGCATTTGGTTGAGAAATAATTCCCAGAGACGACATCAGAAACAAAAAGTAGCGAACATGCTTTTTTCAGGGCTTCATCATCAGGCTAATACAACCACAATAAAGAAAGGTAGAATAAGCACAATGGGTCTAAATTCGGTGAGTCAATGAAGCAGCGTAATTAATCGAAAAGCCTACGTGATTGGTCTGGTTGAGGCGAAGTCAGGTGAAGTGGCGTGACTGTCATTGTTAGCCGCCTTGGTCTGAGCCCAAGACAGGGTTAAAGTATGGGCGAGTTTTTCTGTGCACGTAGGTCCGGGTTATAGAGCCGAATTGCCATCGCCTCTGCTGCCGGTAGCAGGCGACATCTGACTGCCTACGTGTAACCTCCGGGGATACAGTAGATCGGTGTGAATACGTCATGCGAAGTGATTTGATGGTCAAAGTCTACTAGGTGCGACAGTAGTGCACTCATTACATTCTTTATCGCGCCGCTGTACAGCCAAGCTGGGTAATGTTCTCGAGCCCTAACGGACAGTTGCCTGGTCGTTTTCCCAATATACCTTGCTCAACACGAGCAAGAGAAATTGTACATCCAGAAGGAGGTCTGCGACCGAGGTATCCTGTCTTTAAATTTGTTGGCGCATAATCGGTGTTGAGGTGAAGCTTACCCGCAGATTAGCGGCAAAATATGTTCTCCCTGCTGCTATGGAAAGTCTTCGGGTGGTCCGTTCCGCTATCGCGTCACCTTTACATGGCAACGATAAGTATACCATCCGCTTCTCCGTGGAAACGCGTTTGAGTTTTTGTACTCGGTACGCGGTTCCATGTGCCTCTGGATGAATTTTTCAGGGTACCCATTACGCTCGAGTACGCTTCATATAACGCTCAGCTCATCTGAAAGCGCATCATCAGTATCTATTCTCCTCGCTATCTCCGTTAGGCAATGGATAAGATTCCTTTTTTGACTTATCGGAACAAAACTAGCGAAATGGATGTATTGTCCATACCAGTTTTTTGTTTTTGTGTACCCTCCTCTGCATTGACCTCTCTGATGCCCGGTTGAGTTGGACATCTAAAAGTGGTAACGAGTCATTACTTTCTAGTTCGACAATGCAAATTATGTTACTAGGTGCAGTGTTAAAGTAGGCCAATAGATCCTCGACTCACATTCCATTAGCCGCAATACAAAATATGTCGTCTACATATCGACCGTAATAAACCAAGCTGTTGATGGATTCGTTCAGCTAGTTGCACTCCAATGTGCTCACGAATAGCTCCGCGAACAACGGTCCTACTGGTGCACCCATTGCCACCCCGTCTATTTGTCTCTATAGCGTTCCATTAAGCTGAAACTGAATGTTTCTCGTACACTTGAGTAACAGTTGTCTCAGCCGGTCTGGTGGGATACCAACATCGATGTTGTTCGGCTGGGGGAACTCGCACAGTTAGTCACCATTAAATGGTCAGTAAGTATGGTGCTACGGAAATATTTTGGTGTTGCTCATCCCAACACTGACATCCCACGACCGCGGTTTTGTTCTAGTGGAGGTCGCCTGAGTTTGGGTGGTGCTATGTTTGAAGTGGTGAACGCAATGTGGTTCAGGTTACCCGAATTGACGGAAGCATCGGATGACCCAAGTTTCGCACTGACAGCTTGGCTAGAACGCGGTCAGTGTGGCTAAGAAAGTTCTATACCTTGGTTTGAGTCTTAGATGGAAGGATATGTTTACCATGCATATTGCCAAAACGTTAGTTGGTTGGTTGGAAGAACTAAAGCAAGATGATTTGCGATGGTGGCATCCAGAAATGCATAAATAAGGTCCAGTTGAATAGTCCCTATCAATTTATATCACGCGCCACTCATTTTATGCTGCGCGGATGCGTGAGGTTGCATTTTTCTAAAGATGTTCCGACACGTTTCTTCCAAGTAAAATAGGTTAGTGGTTGTTTTTGGACTTTTAACGCTTGGAACGTTAGTACCTTTCGCATAAGGACAGCGATCCCAAAGACTGTCAATTCCCTTAACGAGTTTACTCGGAACTCTTTTGCAACGGATCTGATGGTATGGAAAGCAAACATGGAGTTTGTAAGGATATATTTGAGGGGTCCTTAGATTACAGAATTTTGGACTGCAACAACTGGGACCCTGTGTGTACTATGTTACTCAATGGAATGTGCGTCGTCCCTCCGTTCTACTTTCTCTCTACCAAGTAAGAGGCTTTCTGCTTACCGAGTTGAGGAACTGCGAAGGAGAACTTATCGCATTGCGGGAAACATGACCACGTTTATTCAGTATGCCATCTGTTTCACAGTATGGCCAAGTTACACGCGATTGAAACAACTGAATAAGGTACGATATTTGCCTCTCAAAATGCAAAATCTTGCCCTAGGATCTTCATCCACCAACCCCAGTGTCCAATACTGTTGGTACGGAGCCTGAACAAGTGAACAAGTTTGTCTACCAGGGGAGTTACGCTTTCGCAGATGGCACCATCAAAAGGGAGATTTCGTATCGGCACTCTAACGCCAATCGGATACATCTTTGACTTCCTCAAAACCTTTCACTTTCTATAGAATTTAGCGTATACAATACCTGTATTCGCGCGGTTCCATTGTACGGAAATGAGTCCTGACCGATTCGTGTGATTAATATGTATCGGATTTCTATCTTACGTAACCGTTTTTTGCGGAAGGTACTTCGTGTGTAGTACACACACCTTGTTCGCAACGACGATGTTAAACATCGCGTTTTAAATAATACGGTCTTTCCTCTCAATAGGTTCGTATCGCTTCGCGAATTAAGATGGCTGGGTCATGTACTACACACGTTACGCAATCGACTACCGCGACGCGGTTTATTCGCTTACACAGTACCGCACTGAAAACTATTGTGTGGTAGTCAGCCTACTACACAGCGGTGAAACGTCAGAGTGCTAGACTGCAGTTTGTCTCTCCTCGGTCCTGTACCTCTTCTGGGTTGAGGAGCCAAGGATGATGAACACGGTTGGCTGGAAACCGTTGACGCAATGATGTGCAATTGGGTTCTATGAAGAAATGTATGAATGCATGCCTCGATCTAACTGGTCATTACCGCGATCATTTAACTGATACAAAACATAAAACAGTCCGCAAAAAAACACGAAAACTATGGCCTATAGTCATCTTACTCTTTTTGCATCACCCATTAAGTTAAACAAATGTCTGTGCAACCTACTCTTCTCTATTTCACTTTGACTGCTCCCGAGAACATCTGAAAGAGGGGTACAGATATTCCTACCTTTCGCATTTCGTGTGGTCCGATTGATGATCCAAAACTCTGTTTCTCTTTATTTTACTTTTCTCAGCATGTTTTAAACCGCATAAACCACGAAGGTACTTCTGTGCACAAATGATCGTTCCCGCTTGTATCACCGACCCGATCACACGAAAGGTGAAAGGAAGGAATATCTGTATCCCTCTTTCAGATGCTTTCGGGAGCATTCAAAGTGAAATAGAGGAGAGTAGGTTGCACAGACATTTGCTTAACTTCATGGGTAATGCAAGTTGAGTAAGGTGACTATAGGCAATTGGCTACTCATGTATTGTTTAGATTAGCTTTCCGTCAATATTTATGGCAATTGCTGTGCTCAAAGTGTCTTTAACACATGCGGGATAGTTAGGAAATTCTTTAGAGAATTACGGAACCTGGCATGGTTAGTATTCACGCGTACATGTAGTGGAAGTCGGTTCCACAGATTATCATCCTTCACTAAAAAGTCGATCGGATTATATGACTCCCAGGCTGTTGGGGGAACAAGTAACCGTCATAACGATTGGGGTACTGTTGTGTACGAAAAGGCAAATGCATGAACCGAAATAAGCAGGTCGCTTCGGTAAACAAACTACTGTAACCTGAGAAGTGTTTAACTACGTGAGTACATTAAGGTGTCGCAAGGAGAAGCATGAGTCAATAGGGAAGCAGAGCAATATGCACTTATGTGTGTATGTCTGGAGTTGTGTGCATGTGTCTGCCTAGACTAGCCGGCAAGCATGCTGACCGAATACACAACATCGCCTCTCCGCTTAATCGTATGGTGTGTCGTAACCATATGGATTCGGTGTTCTTGGTTCTCGGCCCGTCCTTCGGAGCTGCTTGCTTTGTGTAGATTCGTCAGTGGAGGTTTGGTGGCGCATGCTCCGTTCGTCTGCTACTTGTGAATAACCTCCGTGCGTTGACTATGCGGCCATCTTCCAGTCAGTAAGTGCCTGGTCCACATGCGCGCCTTATTCCTATCAGATCTGACAACCTGGACTGTCCTTTTGTTGCAGCGTTCACCTTCATGCACACCAATGTTCCAGGCTGGAGCAGAGTAGTAAGCTTCCGGTAAGCGGTCTGATAATGATGGCGACGATCTAACTCGTCTGAATTATTAGTTGCAGCAATCGCAAGTGCGGAAAGCCAAAGCATGAGTTATCTGGCGTTGTCTGTGGCTCGCTGGTGTGCTGTTAGGTACGAAAATACTGCTTGTAGAACTACATCCTCCCAACCTGTACCTGATAAGCAAATAGTTCGGATACTCTCTTTCGAGTATTGATGGAACGGCTATACCATGCTGTTTGCCGCTGAATTATACTAAGTTGTAAATGAGTGTCGGATGGCATGAAATTGAAAGAACGAAAGAAACTCGTGGCTTGTAAGCTGCGGACCGTTGTCTGTCACTATCTCCTCTGGTAGCCCGAAACGGGAGAACAGCCTTTTCAGCCATTGAATAATGCTGGCCGTAGTCACCTCTCCACACTAATGGACTTCCAGCCATTTACTGTAAAAGCATGTAAATATCAAACAGTCATGTTGAATATGCAATTCAGGGTTGGTGTCCATGGTTAAAACGAGACATCCGTCTCTTGGAACAGCCCCAAAGAAGAGCCACGAAGGCAACGCGTGGCCTTTCCGGTATAAGTTACGAAATGCGTCTTCGTGTACT